GATTTTTTAATGAAGAAAATGAGCAACGCCTTCCTCAAAAAAAAATATTAAAAATCAACGAAAAGCGCAGCTATGTATTTTAAAATTGCGCTTTATTTGAATTGATCGGGCTACAAAACTGCATACTCACAATATGTATTTATAGGAAATCTGATTAAAAAGCTTTTCCAAGGTTTGCTGATTTTGTTAATGTTGCGCAAAGATTAATCCTTGGATTTATNAATTAAAAAGCTTTTCCCAGGTTTGCTGATTTTGTTAATGTTGCGCAAAGATTAATCCTTGGATTTATACGGGTTTTGTTAAAGTATAAACTGCATTTTTATAAACAAATAATTAAAATTATATAATTTTAAGATAAATGGGCAATCTAGTTAACATGTATAAAGTTTTGATAAGCACTTGAAATTTCAAGTTTTAGTACTGAATTCAAAGAAGATGTCTGTTTTATCCAATCATAATAACTTAAAAAAAATGTGTTTGTTAAAAAATGTATCTTAAAATATCTGCCTTCACATTTATGTTAGAAGTGTAAAATATGTAAATGTACCTACATAAACTTTTCCGTGAATACCATCAAAGCATTGATCTTGAAGGGAATCTATGTATGCATGCATGCATATGAACAAATGAAAAAGTCGATACAATTTACAGTCGAAAAGTACAGTTTTTGTATAGATTATAGATTATTTCCCAACACTGTGGAGAACTAAGCAAAATGGCCTAGTGTATTTCGCAAATATTCAAATACATAATCCACCAACCGATAATTTTATATATTCATTAAAAGATAATTTGTTATCAGTCTGAAATAAAAAAATTATAAATCGGAAGGGTAAAATAGTATTGTGTGATTAATTCAAAAATAAAAAGTTTAATTTCCCCTCAATCTTTCAAATTCTAACATTCTTTCAAATTATTGTTGCTTTTCCACAATAAGTTTCAAAAACGGCCTCGAGCTCAATAATAATTGTGAATACAAAAAATTTTCAGGTAAAAGTGTCACCGTTTTTGAATTATTTAAATTTTTTTGAATTAATTATTGATTATTAATTTGAATTAACTGCATCTACAAACCAAGCTACACTTAGTAAATTTTTTATGTAAAATACTTCCAGATAGTTGCTTCTCCATACTCAAATGCAATGTAGTTAAAATATATTAAGGAACCATCATAAAATTAGGACTATTTTGGGATTTTTAACTTTTTGATATTTTTTTCCCCAACTTTGAGTATCTCAGGTGAAAAAAGTGTACTGAGCTATAACTTTACATCACATAAAAAATTGCTCATTTAATAAAGATTTCAGAAGGGTGCCACTCTTACTGTTTCGAATAGAAAAAAAGTTATAGCCGCTTTTGTGGGCAAAGGAGACACGCTAGAATGTATTTAATAGATTTAAATT